TTAGTAAATATGTGCCATAAGATAGTTCTCAAAGAGCTCAGTTCTTAAGGTCCAATAGATCAAAGCAAACATTATCTTGCAAGTTGGTGTAGACCGTCACAGACAACTATAGCTTTTCATCTAAATGAACCTAAATGCTTGTCCCAACAAATTCCAAAGAACTAAATGAATGTCATCTAAAACAAACTAAAAACTAAATGGAATTTTTGGTCTTTTCACAATTCCATGCAAAACCCATCAAGAATCTACCTGTATTTTATCCAAAAATTCAATCTTCTTTCCACTAAATTGAAATTAGTGACATTATTCAACAGAAAAATTCGCAAAGATTCGACTCTAACAACAAAAACCCATTTCTTTTCTCACCATGTGCAACAAAAATAACACAACAATTATTACAAAAAGAAATGAACAAAACAGTTAAGAGCCTTGAACGCTGCATAAAAAATTGAGCTAAAAAATGGAATCGAAAAGGATTGCAAGAGAGAGTTGAGGAGGGTAGGAAAGAGTGGTGACTCACCTTTTTGGGAGAGCCAAGTTGACTCGTCAATTTGGGGAATTTTAGGTGGTTAGTGGAAGTGCTGTTAGGGTTTTGGCTCAGGCGAAGACCTGGAGAAGCGTAATTAAAAAAAAAAAAAAAACGTTGAATTTTAGCAAATTGGATTGTAGGGAATTCGGAATGGTGAAGTTGGGTTGGGCTTCATTATTAAGTGAGGTCGGAATGACCCAATAAAACGTGACCCAAATATGGAAAAATCCAATTAAGAGTTGAAACCCAAACCCAAATTTCTTATATTTTGTACAATAATTAAATTTAAAATCACATTTTTTTCAAATTTAATTATGAGAAATTACCTTTGACGTTTTTAAATTTTACAAATAGAATTATCAAATTGACACGTATCTTTAGGTAGAGTTTTGTATAGGATGATCACTCTAAAAATTATAATAATTCAGATATGATAATTAAATTATTATATTTGGTAAGCATTTGGTGATTTTAAGTGGATGTGATATTAGATTATCGATAGTAATTAAATTATTATCTTAGAAGAAATCTAATTCTTATATAAAAATATGAAAAACTTTTATTACCAAAGTAAAATAATTTATAAAATTAATAATAGTCAATTTTATTCATTTAATATGTGAATTAAAATCATATTGCATCTTAAAATTGTAATTATTTTATATTATAAATTTTTATATTTTCAAACTAATATTCATTATAACAAGTTCAAAATAATTTGTATATTTGTATTCTTTTAATATTTTATCTATAATATAATTTTTTATTTTTTATTATGAATTTAATAGATTGATTTCATTTTCTAATTTAAATATTTTTAACATAATTTATATCATAAAAATAAATTTACCTATCAATAAATATATTTATTAATTAAATAATTTATTAATATTTTATTATAAAATAAACAAATATTACTAATATTTTATAAATTATTATCTTTAAACGACCATAAAATTATATAATTATTACAATATACATTATTATTTTCATACTTTTAAACAAAATAATATTTGATTTTTAATAATATCAAATACAATGTACTTTTAAGAATTAATCATTGACAACCAAACAAAGTGATTTCAAATAACAAGTGTTAAGATTACCTTGATAATAAAATTACTCCAATAATTATATTACCATAATGATCTTATAAAAAATACTATATGTTACCTCAAGGTATATTTAAAGTTTTGATTATTTTAATGAAAAATATTTTTCAAAAATTAATTTTCGTATTTTTTGTATTTAGATAAAAAAAATCAAGTCATCAGAAAATCATTTTGTTTTATTAGAAAAAAAAAAAATCATGGAATCCAAAGCATGCCCATTTGACAAGGTAAAGATATTATTTACTTGCATGGATAAGTTAAGAGCCAGCATGCCATGAGTTCCTTCACTTTCTTATTGTCATCAATAGCGTAGCCTTGGTGGTCAGTGGAGCACTGGTTCATGTGGATTGTGGACTTGTAGTAAAGACGAGAAGGAAGGAAATGTTAAGCATGATATTTAACAAACAATTAAAATTATTTTTTCTAAAACAATCCAAACAATAAAAAAAGAAATTTTTTGGAAAATACCTTTTACGAAAATTTGTTATTTTCTGAAAATCTTTTTCAAATTATCAAATGGAGCTTTAAAATAAAAAAAATCATTAAAAAAATGAAATATGTAAAAATCCCTTTAATTTAGCTTATAAAATTAAAAATTTATTTAATTTATTTATATGATCATAATATATTTAAAATATAAATAAAATGAAATTTTCAATAAAAACAAATCACTTCAGTAAGTGAGGGCTCACTGGATATTTCAGCATCACATTCCTTTCAAAGTGGCATCACTTTTTATCACACTCTACAATTTCTTAATCTTTCCCTTTCAATGGTATTTTTTATTTTTTTTTTGAAGAATTTTTTCAATGGTTTTGTCGCATCTACATGACTTTGAAATGGTCAATAAAAATGTGTGTTATTAAGAGATAAGATGTGGACGTTATTAATTTTTAGATTAATTGATATGTTATTTTAGTTAACGCTTGAAAATTATAAGTTCAAAAGAATCTATACAAGTAAGCTAAGAGATTTATGGATTAAAAAAAAAAAAAAACAGCCAAAGTCTTTGAAAATTAGTTTTACCTTCTGAAAAATCTAATGCAGGTTGTTTAACAAAATGTTTCATATTATATATTACGAAATTGATGAATGCATTTTAATTTTACAAATTTTCTCTTAAAACTTATAAGCTAAGTTAGATGATTATTAAATCAATAACTTAATTCAATTAATTCATATAATTATTATTAAAAAATATTATCTAGTGGATCTTAAATTCAAACTTTTAACACTTGAGACTTTTTCTTTTGTACATAAATTAGGGCCTCAATCGTATAAAAATAAATTAGATGATTGCCATATGTTTATTTAATACTTAATTGATTTATTAATTTTCATAAATGCAACATAGTAAAACACACATTAACTTTCTAAGTTTGTTTGTAGAGTTCTAAACTCTACCTTCAAATGTATAAGATAATTTTATCTTATATATTTATGTATTTTTATAGAAAAAAAAACAAGTATTTTTAATTTTCTTCACTCCCTTAAGTCTCTCCAAAAATCTTTCCAATTTTTTCAAGTGAGAAAATATTAATTAAAGAGACATATATGGAAATTCACACCCAATTTTTGAGATATTATTTATTTTTATTCAAAAGTCTCACAAAAATTGTATCAAGACATGGGAGATCGATTTTTTCGTGTGAAAAAATTAGTACATCACGTTAATGCAGTCATTTTCATGGAAATTTCATAGTTTCTCCCTTAATCAATTTTTTTCTTTTGTTTGTACATTGAATTTTAATTGTTTACTACAATAATTTAGGAATGATATCACTAATCTTTGAATAGTATGCTATCTGTTTTGTTTTTGTTTTTTTTTTTTTTTCACAACAGCCTTGAAATTGGCCTATAAATTGCAGTCGAGAGAGGAGATTTTCAACTCAACCTGCCTAGTTATAATCCAAAATGAGAGCATTATTTCTCCTAGCATGCCTTCTGTTAGCTTACTCTTTCTTTATTCCCACTTCCACCATGGCTAGAGAGCTGGTCGAGAAAGGTAAGAGCAACTAGTCTTTTAGATAACTTTATATATATTTGTTCGTAATAAAATCAGAGATATTTTCGGATTTTATTCAATCATATGCATATATATATATATAATTAAATCTTATAACGTATTAAACTTGAAATTAGTTCATTTAATTTATTCAATCATTTTAAAAAAATAATATTCAACAACTTGATATTTAAATGTCATCATTTCTAATTTCTTTTTTTAGTCAAAATTACGATTTTTTAAAATTTTTCAGCACTTTGGTAACTAATTACATTGAATTTATTTATATGAATGTTGTTAACAACATGGACATGGCATATGGCTATTGAATTTGCAGGTTCCATTTCCAGGAATAGCCCATTTGTGCCTAGTGGCAGAGCACTTGCTTCTGAGCATCCTACTGTATGTGCTTTAAATCCTAACAAACCTTGCCTACCCCCTCCTAAGTGCAAGCCATATGAAAAGAATTGCAGTAACGCCTAAACCTAAACCAGCGCCTGCAACTCCATCTGCACCATGAAGGTGGTAGAAAAGCTATGGATGATCTATTTCCATATGTGAAATTACAATTGGAATTTATAGCTAATAATAAAGTTGCCGCAAAGCAATAACCAGATCATGATCATGAAGTTGCAGTCGCCTTGATTTGTGTTATGAAGACCACTATTAATTATGTGTAAGAAAATAGTTCTCAAAGAGCTCGGTTCTTGAGACTTCAATGAATTTGGAAGCTTTATATTTTATGAGAATTAAAATAAAATAAAAAGGTTTACTCCTTGTTACATAATTCGAAAATTCATTGAATTTTTTTAGTCATTTTTTAAGACAATTTATTTGCATTTAATTAATGGCTAAAATACTAAAATTGCCCTTGAACTATTCAACTTTATTTAAGTAAGTCCCACTAATTTTATTATACTTAAATGAATTATTATCCTTTCATTTACATCGATATAAACCCTTATTTTAAATAACATATTAATTTATATTAAAGATTTATTTTAAAATAAATTACAAATTAAAAACTTACTTGAGCACAAATTAAAAATTAAAAATTTATTTAGATATAAATTAAAGGTTATAGATTTATTTAAATTAAATAAAATAATAAAATTTAATGTATCAAAGTAAATAATATTTTATAAGTTATTGTAAAACGTGATAGTTATCTTGTAGATAAAAAATAAGTCGCCGAAAACTTTTAGTCTTTTCAATAACCGTACCTTGAAATCACAATGAAACGCAATGGATTTCCAACATTGCTAGTCAATTCAGCGGCTGAAATAGTAAATGATGCCTTAAATTATAAACTCATACAGTGAACAAAACACAAATAAGATATTCCTTGTCTGGTAATTGTGTGATAATAACATTGGCATCTGGAAACCAGATGAATTATATCAACAATAATGGAATATTTATGGTTCGTTACATGCGATTTTCGGATGGATTGATAGGTAGCCATCACTCAACTATATTACAAAACTATATATAATATGAATGAAAAATTTAGGGAAATGAACAGAATAATGTAACGAGAAAAAACTTCATTCAATCTCTTAAGATATTTCCAAGTATTCGCAGGACAGGGACAACTGAATTTTTCAGCAGGATGTCCATAGGCTAAAGTCACAAGGCAGGACCTTTTGTCATCAATCTTCGACGAGGATTTACTAGTTGTGAGAATGCTGCACTAGTAGCAGCATCTTCAGCATCATCATCAGTGCCAGAATTTCCCCCATCGATCATGCTTACACTGTTGTCAAATGGCTCAAGCGGTGTCAACTGAATGGCTGGGATATGGTTTGTACTATTTTCATCGGGTTCCATTAGTGCTGATGAGGTCTCCTCCAGCCGAAGAGCATATTCAAGGTTCCATAAAACATCTCCCATTGATGGCCTGTCAACGCCGTGCTCAGCCAGGCACTTCTCAGCTGTCTCTCCATATTTCTTAAGGGAAGCTGGATTCACTTTCCCCACCAGATTAGAATCCATGATTTGATCCAACATACCTTTCTTCTGCCAGTTCATTGCCCATTCTGCAATATTAACTTGTTCTCTTGGAAGAACAGGATTTAAAGCTGGCCTAGTGCAGAGAACTTCCATCAGAACCACCCCAAATGAATACACATCAGACTTCTCTGTGAGTTGCTGCCTTCTGGAATATTCAGGATCAAGGTAACCAAAGCTACCCTTAACTGCAATACTCAAATGTGTCTGACCTAAAGCTGGACCAGTTTTTGAAAGACCGAAATATGCTACTTTGGCTACAAAATTCTCATCCAAGAGAATGTTTGTGGTCTTCACATCTCGGTGAATAATGCTTTGGGCTGCACCAGTGTGGAGATAATGAAGTCCCCTAGCAGCCCCAATGCATATTTCAAGTCGTTGCTTCCATGATAGAGATGGTAGATTTGTTCCATAAAGATGGCTTCTAAGGGGTCCGTTAGCCATATACTCGTAGACAAGAGCCATGTCTGATCTTTCATCACAGTACCCAATAAGAGAGACAAGGTGGTGGTGGCGAAGTTTTGATAACATTTCAATTTCAGCGCGGAATTCAGCAAGACCTTGTTCAGATCTCGGGTTGCCTCTTTTTACAGCAACTTTAGTCCCATCCTCAAGTATTCCCTTGTAGACCCTTCCAAAACCACCAACTCCAAGAATTAGGCTCTCATCAAATTTGTTGGTAGCATCAAGGATTTCTTGGAAGGAAAAGAACCGGCCGAGATTGGAGGAAGCCAATGAGATGCAGCTTGCTGTTCCACTCTTCTGTGATGTTGTGGACATTTTGGTCATTGTCTGAGAGTTTCCATATAAGTGCAAAGGCAACCATGGATGTCGTTGATGAGTAGCTTTTGACTTGCGTGCTGCCAGGCAACAACAACAGAACCCAATTAGTGCCACTGCAGCTACAGCTCCAGCAAGACAACCAATTATTATCCAAATCTTGTTCTTCTTCGAGGATGATTTCGTAAGGAGATTCTTAACAGAAGAAAGTCCATCCAGGCTTCCAGCCTCATTGCTGATTTTCATTATCTCCAATCCATTCATTGTTGCATTAGTGATGTCTGCCACTGAATCTGGACCAATACTAACATTCAATGTATCGGATTCTGCTGAAGAATTGGTGATAAAGTCCTTATAATAAGGCACATTTAGGTCGCCGGTCAATGTTGAGAGGTCAAGACTTGCAACAGCAATATCATCATTTATGTATAGATTGAAAACCAAACCATTGAGAGACTGACTCACAATATCACAAAAACGTGCCCGAACAAAATACCTGAAGTTTGGATCAACAGGGAAGACCCAAGTTGCATTGAAGTTCATGCTGGGTGCATTTGCATCTCCCATAACTTCAGCAGTAGCATAGACCCAATTTGGGGCTGTTTCTGTTGTAATGGAAGTCGTATATTTGATAGAAGCAGGATTGACTGAAACATTCAGAGCAGAACTGTTTACATGGAGATATTTCACATCATTCTCCCATGTTCTTCCAAGGGTATCATTCTGAGCAGTGATCAGTGGCCTACCCATGTTTAACCTATAAACAGTTTCCATGGCAAATTCTGAAAGACCACTAATAGGAGCAGATGGATTCAGAGCTAATGCCTGATCAGGCAGGACTGCATCTGGGATGGAGACAACTTCCATTGCATTAACAAATGAAACCGAATTGTTTGAAGGAATGAAGGTAAGAGTCAAGTTATCAGAGATCACATTGATTGCATACTCCTTGAACAAAAAAGAACCATTATAGTTGCTGAAAGCGAAGTTGTTCAAGAGCACAAAATCATCAGTGACAACTGTTATTGGAGCAGATGTCAAGTTCTGTCCTGATTTTGGAAGAGGATAAAAGTAGAGCCGGACCCAATGCCGACCTTCTTGATTGATACCAAACTTGTAAGAAGCAATGTCAGAGAAAATTCGGGCCGATTGATATATTGAAAATGGAACACTAGAATTAGAACTAGCAACAAAAGAACTCCCACTCTTCAATGAAAGAGAAGAAAGGCTCAAATCAGGAACAAATGTGTGCATAAAAAAATATAATTAAATATTTAATTCTAATATTTAATTTTAAAATTATCTGATTTTGAGGAAAGAGTCAAAATTTTAATGTTATTAAAAATTTCAGAATAAAAAGTTCAACTTTTTCTTTTTATATTTTAAAATTTCAAACTGAAAGTTATTTGACTTTTAAAATTGATTGGAAAAAAAATTCTCTATCTATTTTATTTTTTTGAAAAATAAATTTTAATCTGGAATTAAATTTTATTTTAAGTTAACTACAATGTTTCTTTTGAACAAAACGTTATAACTAGTTTTTTTTTTTTTATCACTTATATATTCTATTACTGACAAATTACATCATTTATCTTCAACATATGCTATAATTATCAATTATTTGAAATTGAAAATAAAGCTATTACTTTTAATTACGGCGTCTCTTCATTTAAATACTGTAATAGCCATTACTTTCTATAACTTGAGAGCTATGCATCACATGCTGTGTGTCACGAGCTACGTGTTTTTTATTCTAAAGCCATGCGTTTGTGCGGCATCAAAATTATTCATAGTCAAGGTTAGGCTTTCTTCGAGTTTATTTTCCTATGAACAGCTCGATATCGATCTTTCAAGCTACATACTCATAAGTCTTTCCTAGCTCTGACCCTATAGAGTCACAACCTCGATAGGGAGGAACCCAACTCCCCTAAACTCATTAGCCCTTAAATCTCTGGGTGGCTTCGAGCACCCTTCCATGCCCGCAGGCACCAAGGTCTCGAGTACCGACTCTCAAATTCTCTTAGGGTACACAGCCCCAATTCTTATGATTTTATTACTTTCTAGCATGGAGAGAACCCAACATCATGTCTACCCACATCGTACGCAAGCTTTTGTGCCATGATCTCATAGGCACAACACAGATGCTAGTTAGTAACCAGCCAGAAGCCTCTAGCCTCATTTCTTCCCACAAAATTCATTTGTTAGAGTCTTAGCCCTTAGTCTTATTTTAGACTACCCGCACGCATGATTGACATCTAGCATCATGTTCATCCTTTTTCGGGGACTCAGGTGTTTTACCTCAACCCCAGCAACCTTTTACCGATTGGCCACAAGGATCTAACAGTGTGCCTGCCTGTTCGCCAACTTATTCCTTTGGCTTGATGGTGTCTTTCCTATGCAAACACTATCTTATGATCCTACCTGCTCAAGAAAAAGAAATCGAAAGGCATAATGAACGCTACCACCTAACCTCATAGCTCAACTCGAAGACGAGATACAAGGCCTGTCAACCTCAAACGTCTTAGGATTTATTATGACCTGAGGAGACATCGTACCACACTCGTGATCCTACGATACCCGTCTACCTAGACACCACAAGTGCTTAGAAATAGCTCATTTCAGACTAGTCAGGCCTCTGTCTGCCTTCTAGCAAAGGGGGTGGTGAAGATCTGACACTAGTCGTCCCCCTATAAATAGCATAAGAGATTTTTTAGGTCTCCTACCAAGAATTGTAAGTCTGTCTGAAATGGGAACACTTTTCTCCCGAACTATTTCAAGGCCTTTCTTCAACTAACTCAGGGCCCCGTGACCTTTCTCATGGTCACCATGATTCTCTGATTCTACTCGTTACTCCATTAACCGACTCAAAGGCGCTCGCACATAGCTTCAATCGACAAAACCCAACTGGTTACCCAACTCGATGGTGCTCGACCACTGGCTCAAACTTACCTACATATCTTACGGCCTAGGGCTCACACTGTCCACACACAATATTAGTAACATGTTCTCGTGCTTAAAATTCCCACACACATGCTCCAAGACCATTGTCCTTCCAACTAGGTCTCATCCACTGCTCAGCTTAGGGTCAATCATGCCAGGATTGAGGCACACCAGAACTTGACCGTGACACTCTCCCCCACTTACTATATCGATGCCCTCATTGATGCAATGACCACACCTAACTCTCTTATTGCACATAGTTGATATTTTTCATATGTTTCTCACTTGTGCCCTCAAAGATTGAGTTGAGATCCTATCACATAAGGCATTACCCATAATACTCATTCATTGTCAATGTAGATGGGTTTCATCCTAGCTTTAATGCAAATCTAAGTTGTTTGCATCTCGGACCATCTTACTCTATCTCGATTACTCAATATGTGCCACAACACTATTTCACCCATAATCTCATAATGTTACGACCTTGAGGCACCCTTGTTGATCATGACTCTCAGTAGAATGAATGACCATAAGTTTTGCCACATATTGGTGCACCCTGCTGGACATGAACCATCAAACAAACTACACGCTTATGGCATCGACTCTTTAAAGGACCCCTCTAGATGTGGTACTTTTAGTCAACTGCACCCATACACACCACCCACAATAGACCTTAGCATGGTGGCATTCAAACACTTCAATCATCTAACAGCTTAGGTCCTTTTGACCCTTCCAAGGTCACTTCTCTAAGTGTGGCCCTCTAGCCGACCTCCTTTGTGGTGGCATCTTAACACGCACTATCTCAAACTTAAACACAGTGCTCAATAAATTTAAGCTTTGCTACCTTGACTCAGTCCCATAGGGAATCATAAGTCCTTCCCATTTTTACTCAAACTTGGATCAACTCTGCACATAACCATATCTCCTTAATGGTTTCATAACTCATCTGCCTTGACTTTGGCATAGCTCATAGGGCATCTCAAAGCCCACTCTAGCCAATTACCACTTGCTTGTTCCATTGAACTACACACTGTCGTGGTCCGTTGACACCCCTACTCATAATGCCATCTCCTAGGCTAACTCAAACCATGGTCCACTGACCAACACACCCATGTGATCCTCTAACCACGAGAACTCATGTTTCACTAACCATTACGTCTCACAACTTTAATCCTCAGCTAACACAAACTCCCCTGCCTCTACAGAATGGCTTCATGCTTGGACGTAATACTCAGCCCATACCCCCGCTAGGGCACTTGCACCATACAACAAGTGTGTATGTTAGTAACTAATCTCAATACACATGGCTCATGACCTTTAGGACAAAACTCGCTTTAGCCCTCATGGCCTTGCTCAACACCATTTCATGGTGTATGCCCTTTTTGCATTTCGATCTCACTATGGTTTTCCCATCGTAAGGGCATCATATGCCCATACGTGCCAACACCTTTCGTTAGGTGAGGCTAGACTCCCGTGCCCTTTTGCTTGGCATCCAAAAGCCTACTCGAAGACCTTTCACCTAGGTTAATTTTTCCTACAACACGTAAATCTCGAGCCTTCATAGCCACATAACCACATTCACATCTCAATAGCTTTCTTTGAGCTTAGCACTGCTACAATTTCACATTATCATGCCTACACTTGGGCCCATTTTTAATCCCACTGCTGAGCTAAACATGGCTCCAATACCACATTGTCAAAAGGTCACGCATTCTTTATTCTGAAACTACATGTCTGTGCGACACCAAGACTATTCATAATCAAGGTCAACCTTTCTTCGAGTTCATTTTGTCATGGACAACTCGATATTAATCCTTCAAGCCGCATACTCATGAGCCTTTCTTGGCTTTGACCCCATAAGGTCACACCTCGATAGGGAGGAACACAACTCCCTTCAATTCATCAGCCTTCAAATCTCTAGAGGGCCTCGAGCACCTTTTCACGCCCACAAGCACCAAGGTCCTAAGCCCACAAGCACCAAGGTCCCAGGCATCGACCTTTGAATTCTCATAAGGGCATAAAACCTCGGTTCTCATCATTTTATTACTTTCTAGCATGGTGAGAACCCAACATCATGCCCACTCACATCGTACGCAAGCTCTCCTGCCATGATGTTGTAGGTACAACATAGATGCTGGTCAGCAGCCAGCCATGAGCCTTTAGGCTCATCTTTTCCCACAAAATTCATATCTTAAGGCCTCAACCTTTAACCTTTATTTTAGGTTGCTTACACACATGATTGATACCTAGCATCATGCTCGTCCCATTTCAGGGACTCAAGTGTGCTACTTTAACTGCAGCACCCTTCTACCGATTAGCCACAAAAGTCTAATAGCGTGCTTGCTTGTTAGCCCGCTTATCCTTCAAGCTTGATGGTGCCCTTTTTATACAAGCACCATTTTATGATCTGTCCGGCTTAAGAAGGGGAAACCAAAGTTATAGCGAACGCTATCGCCTAACCCCATGGTTCAATGCAAAGGCATAATACTTCGCCCGTTGGCCTAATTGTCCTCAGGTTTACCGTGACTTAAGGAGACACCATGCTACACTCATGACCCTATAATGCCTGCCCGCTTAGGTGCCTAGGAGTATCTCACTTCAGACTAGTCAAGCCCTCACATACCCACTAGCCAAGGGAGTGGTTAAAAGCTGACGCCAATCATCCCCCTATAAAAAAATGTAAGAGATTTTGCAAGTCTCTTATCGAAACCATAAGACTATTTGAAATGGGGACACTTTTCATCCTAGCCTTCTCATGGCCTTTCTTTAACTAACACAAGGCCCTATGACCTTCTTTTGGTCACTATGATTCTCTTATTCTACTCGTTGTCTTACCAGTTCACTCAAGGGTGCTTGCACACTACTTCAATCGATAGCACCCAACTAGCTACCTGGCTCAAGGGTGCCCGACCACTGGTTTGAACTTGCCCGTGCATTTTACTGCTCAGGGCTTACACTGCCCACACACAATATTAGTAACATGTTTTCGTGCTTAAAATGCCCACACATATGCTTCAAGACCACCGTCCCACCAATTAGATCTTGTTTGTTGCTCAGCTTAGGGTCAACCATGGCAAGATCGAGGCATACAGGGCCTGACCATGACACTGTGACAGATGTAAATGTGTTCCACCAGGACATATGGCAACAGAGAAATATGTGCAAAGTATTACACTATTATGGGAACCCACCGTATGACTTTGTAACCTTTTGATCATCTCATGCTATCTGGCTTTGATGTGCTAAACGACATGGCTTACGGACAAGAAAATATTTATGGTGTCACCTTCTGATCATCAGATGCTTGTTGTCTT